GCATCAATTTATAGTGCCAGAATGTTCCCTTTTTATTGAAAATATTGAATCGTAAACAAATATCAGTAGTCTTCATATCTCAGACTGACTTGATAACACAATTATTTGACTGCATCAACCAAAACTGACCATATTTGCTCTTTGTTATGTAAATCTTATAGTGGCATAGTAAATCAGTATTATTTTTATATCGGGATGGATTGTATAATACAAATGGACGCAATATTGGAAAACAATGACTAAAAAATTTGGTTCGCATCAATTTATAGTGCCAGTATGTCCTCTTTTTATTCAAAATATTGAATTGTAAACAAATATCAGTAGTTTTCATACCTCAGACTGTATCATATAACAAAATTATTTGTCCACAACAACCAAAACTGATCATTTTTGTACTATATCATGCAAATCTATGTAGCTGCATAGTAAATCAGTTATATTTTTAGGTCAGGAGGGAGTGTATAATACAAATGACAGTTATACATGTTATATTAGAAAACAATGACTACAAAAATTTTATCACATCAATTTATAGTGCCAGCATGTCCTCTTTTTATTCAAAATATTGAATTGTAAACAAATATCAGAAATTTTCATACCTAAGACTGACTCGTATAACAAAATTATTGGTCCGCATGAACCAAAACTGACCATATTTGAACTTTATTATGTAAATCTTAATAGCTGCATAGTTAATTAGTTATATTTTTATATCAGGATGGATTGTTTAATACACATGACAGCAATATTGGAAAACAATGACTACACAATTTTGTTTGCATTAATTTTTAGTGCCAGCATGTCCTCTTTTATTCAAAATACTGAATGGTAAAATAATATCAGTAGTTTTCATACCTCAGACTGACTCGTATAACAAAATTTTTTGTCCGCATCAACCAAAACTGACTATATTTGCTCTTTATCAAGTAAATATATATAGCTGCACAGTAATTCAGTTCTATTTTCAGGTCAGGATGAACTGTAAAATACAAATTACAGCAATATTAGAACACATTGACTACAAAATTTTGTTTGCATCAATTTATAGTGCCAGTATGTCCTCTTTTTATTCAAAATATTTAATCGTAAATAAATATCAGTAGTTTTCATACCTCAGACTGTATCACATAATAAAATTATTTGTCCACAACAACCAAAACTGATAATTTTTGCACTATATCATGCAAATCTATGTAGCTGCATAGAAAATCAGTTATATTTTTAGGTCAGGAGGGAGTGTATAAAACAAATGACAGATATACATGTTATATTAGAAAACAATGACTACGAAATTTTTATCACATCAATTTATAGTGCCAGCATGTCCTCTTTTTATTCAAAATATTGAATTGTAAACAAATATCAGTAGTTTTCATACCTAAGACTGACTCGTATAACAAAATTATTTGTCCGCAACAACCAAAACCGACCATTTTTGCACTATATCATGCGAATCTATGTAGCTGCATAGTAAATCAGTTATATTTTTAGGTCAGGAAGGAGTGTATAATACAAATGACAGTTATATTAGAAAACAATGACTACAAAATTTTGATCGCATCAATTTATAGTGCCAGCATGTCCTATTTTTATTCAAAATCTTGAATCGTAAACAAATATCAGTAGTTTTCATACCTCAGACTGACTCGTATAACAAAATTATTTGTCCGCATCAACCAAAACTGACCATATTTGCACTTTATTATGGAAATCTTTATAGTTGCATAATGAACTGTCACTTAAGTCAGTAGTTTGGGATGGTTTGTATTTAAAACAAAACTATAATATTTAACGGCATCATCCAACACTGGCATGACTAATTAAAGTAACTTATAAAGAAAAGTATGAGAAGTTCTCTTCTTGGAATAGTGTACTGTTAATATATTATGGCGGTTGATTGATTTCGTTTGTAGCCTAACGTCCAGGGGCAAATATTTTTTTTTCATGTTCAGATCGAGTATATTTTTCGGACGTCCCAGATATCATTTATAATCGTTATGGATAAGTCTGTCTAATTTGACGAGATGGTAAAAATGTACATACTTATACAACGCCTTATCAATATCCCTATATATACACTGTACAACTTTCGATTGAACATTTGGCAAAACAGAATCTTAAATCATGTTAATCAAAGGCAAACAAGGTGAATTACGATTAAAAATCCATGTATTAAATGCATAGAGTTATATTTAGGAAGAGACTGTTAAAAATGGGGAACGAAGCAACGTAAACCATGATGTTTATATCCCATCATATACAAATATTTTTCCGATGTGTTGGATAACCTTTCTATCCGCCTCGATATTTGTACATGTAACTTTTGAAAAGAAAATATAGAAAATCTGCTACTCAGCAAAATTATTTGAACTGATTTTTTGTAATTAATAAAAGTTAATATTTCGAATTTAAAGTGTTTTTGAATTGTTCTGTTTTGAAACACTTGTACGTAAAATATTAAGATACAAGTCGTTTTAATTAATATAAATGTACAAATGAACACGAAGTTTATTTCTTAATTCACACAATCAGTTAACGCGAAAAGTAAACGCGCGTTAACTTTCAAGTGCATGTAGAAATACACTTGTGAAATCTGTAGTAAACGCCTGTTTACTTTTAGGTGCACGTAAAAATAAACTTGTGAAATCTGAAGTAAACGCCCGTTTACTATTGACTAAACGGACACAGAGTAAACGCCCATTTACTCGGGTAGACATTAGAAATTTTCATTTTGACCGCGTGAACGTAATAATAGTAAACGCGAAAATTGAAGTTAACTAACGAAGTATGTCCACGCGGCGCACTGCATGAAAGTATTAGTTTAAGGAAACAATAAACTACTTGAAAATCAGTCGTAATTTCCGAGTTTATTTTTTTTCTGGTAGTTTATAGTTCAAGTAAACGCAATGTTTAATAGTAGTTTACAAATAGTTTACTGGACGCAGTAAGTTCATGAATCGACACCTGATTTACTGTCCAGTAATTTTCAAATTTAACAAAGTTTAATAGACATACAACTTCAAATTTAATGTAGAGCAAACCTGTATAACATGATTTACTACAAATTAAAGTCAAAGATATTCCAAACAGAAAGCTGTTTACTGTGGTTTTAAATCTGATTTAACCTCGAGTTGCAAAATTTAATACAACAATAAACTTTCATTTAATGCAAATTGAAATTAGATTCAACTCCAAGTTTAAAGATTTAATGTGTGATATAACTTGATTTACTTCAAATTTAAACTCATTTTGACTACATATACTATAAACAAATCTGTGTAATATCCGTGTTTGTTGCACCAAATATATGTCAATTGATCTGCAAATTCACCACAGAAAACAGTATATATTTGCAGTTTTCATCCATATATCACCAGTTACAGTTCTTACAAACTCTATTATAATGCATGACATATTTGTTTATGCAAAAGTTCTTCAGTATTACAAACAAAAGCAAAATTGTGCACCCAATGTTGCCTCAACCAATAATTCGAATCAAAGACTCATGATTGCCTCAAAATATGAGATAATTACAGTGAGAGGAGCAACTGGAAATGTCATTAAAAAGCTGCCTGTAATGGAGAATTAGCTTAACTAAGGCGAAATCCTGAATAAAAAAAAAACAATTGTCTAGAGTCTTAACTAAATTTATTCGTTATTTTCAATTTACAAATACATGATATATGAAAGAACTAACATTCCTTTCTACAATAATTTGAAAAAAAAACATCTGCATACATATCGAATTATAAAACTCTAATTTTATGCATTTTTGATTGTTTTTGTTATAGCTGTTTTAAGGAACAATAAAACATACATAAAACGTAACATTTAATTGTATCATCTTCATGATGTAAAAGGACTGAGCATTTAAATATAATAAACATTACGATATTTGAAGAATCCTTTTGTTGTGGTTGTTTCCATTGTATGACCTAATTGATTCTAATTCAACTAACAACTGTTTGAATAGAAAGATTTATTTCCCTTTGAATACAAAAAATCGAGCTGAATAATGAAATCCAACCTAATTTGGAGGGTTTAACAAGCACCTATTTATATGCAACCCCCTTCTTATAAAAGAAAAAAAAATCAAGATCTTCGTACTTATTTTTTATAAGAATCTTAATAATTATGAACGTATAAACTTTTGAGTTAAAACAAAAACCTTCTGAATATCCCGCTGCTGTATCGTAGTTATTATTTTTTCATTGTAACGCCCGTTATCCCATAGTGAAAAAAGCCTCGATTTTTTCATGTTGTTTATTCTCTTCATTGTTTTATTTTTATTTTTTGTAATTGCTAATTTTTTCTCTCTTAAACATTTATATATTCAAAATATCCATCTAATCACTTTTCAACTGACATAACTTGTAATAAGTGTAATACATTCGTTTATATTATTTTTGTAACGCTTGAATAAGGTTTGAATTAAAGCAACATTCTATGTCTGCACTTTGAATATACCTTTATTTCCCTTCATATTAAACTTTAAAAATTTCTTCAATTTTTTAAAGATACGAAAAATATTCTTATTTTAACAAGAGTTGTTTCCCTTTCATTGCTTACTGTTTTAATTCAATTGTAAAAAAAATCACATAATAAATTAGATCCTAGTTACATGTCTGTATGTTTAAAATATATATTTGATTATGCTCGCGTGGACACAAATGAGTAACATACACAATGAAGAGTTTCACCACTAAGACAAGGATTTTTAATGTAAAACCAGCTGTTGTATACATGCATTGTATGATTGCTTACATCAGGATACCAGATACAATTTACTGCTATATAGCTTTTTCATGTTAATATTGTATAATTACGCAAAAAAGAAATATTTAAAATATTGAAACTTGATATATACGAAGTTTCTTACTATTTCGAAGAATTTCCATTTTGTCTTAAAAAATTTACTACTGTGTGCAAATAAAATACACTGCTTGTTTCCGCGGTATCACTTATATATTAAATAAAAGCAACAAGGTTTTCCATCTAGACATGACAATTCTATAAAATGATAATTGTTTACATATATTTTCCGTGATGTTAGGTTTCAAATCAAAAAGGTAATAATTTTGTTTTGCAAATGACATGTGTATTGTTCTTGTTATTTGTAGATAGTTTTGCCTATTGCGACAGTACTGTTGTTTCAAGAAGCACTTAATATTTACTATTTTTTATCAAAACATCCTCCTACGAACCGCTTGTTGTTGTTGAAGACGGTATGCTGACATCCGACATGAAGGTGTATTTTTTGTCTTTCTGTTCGCATCTATTTGATTTCGTGATGACTGAAAAGTTTAATCAATGACTTTTACTATCTAAACACCCATTCATGTCCTGGCACGACTTCTGGTTTTTTCCTTGAGGAAACTGCCCCAACCTTTCGCCTATTATGCTGCCGTCTGCTTCTCTTGGTTAGTTTTCCATCATGTTTTTGGTCTAGTTTTTTTACTAATTTGTCAAAATCGTCAGACCTCCAAGGCAGAGGTCTGACGATAAACGATCCTTCGTCTTCTGAATCTGTTTGTTCAGAAGACATATACTGCATCTCCATACTTTGCATGACTGTTTCTTTTTGTTCCTTTGGCGTACTGGATTTTTCTTTTAATGCCTTTTTTCTGTTGTTTAATTTCTAACAAAATAAAATAAAGCTCAAATGAAAATTCCTTTAATTTCATTTTGAATACATACAGATAGATTCTATATATGCCGTAATAACTCTCTTTCAATATAGATATTATTATTATCATTATTTTTATAAACAATAACGTCCAGCAAAAAGCAATCTTAAGTTTTTTTTGTGAAAAAGCGCCGCTTTTTCTATTTTGATTTTTAGATGTTACGTAGACATTCTTTTTCACTAATCTGCAAAATGATGTAAGTACTAGTATGTGATCATATATCTGACGTCGTTAGAAATAGTCACCATTTTATTGTAGCGTCACAATAGGAAATCAGCAAAAAGCAAAAAGCAAAAAGAAAATGAATTAAGTTAAAAGGGGTCCCTATTTTAGAGTGATATAAGTATATAATAACAAATAAAGCTCCTGTCTAAATCCGCTTCTGTAATTTATGGACTGTATGTAGATTACTGAAAATTACAACTGAGGTATCAGAAATCTTTATACCACTGCTTTTTTTTGGAACTAATACAGATTAAAGAAATCCAAGAAACAGGGTTTTTTTTTTCCAAATTGTTTTCCATAATAAAAAAAAAAACAGTTCTTACTCTTCTCATTCTGCTGTACACAGCCATTTTCTTGTTATGTTCTTCTTGTTTACCAGTCTCTTCTCTTCGTTTCTTTGCTTTGAACGATTCAAAATTTGTCTTTATTCCTTCTACAAAACAAAACATCTACTTAATGCAATTTAAAATAATAAATAAAATAATTGCTTTTCTCGAATTGAGACTAAACCGTGTCATTTGGTAGTCCATGGTAGAATGTTTTGATGTGATATGATCGAAATCAAAATGGATCTATTAAAGTTACATGATATTATGCATTTGCTAGTAAGTGATTCGTTAAACATAAAACTTATTTATAATATGGAAATTATATAGCGTTTCAAAATATTACTGAAAGTGTCTGCTTATAGCGAACCGCCCCCCCCCCCCCCCCCCCTTTTAGACATCATGAAAATTAGCTTGTCTTTTCTCCTCGTCCTAACTATTACAATGTTGTACGGTGTCATTCTTAATGACAGTTAAACATGTCTTCAAAGCAATTGTACTGCAGAACTGCAATTTCGCCAATTTTTTAATTATTACATTTTTGTACTACAAACCTCTAACAACACCCTCCACTTCGTCAGGATATTGGCCTTTTACGAATTCAATGATGAATCCGGACATCTCTTTGTTCTCTGCTGAATTATATCTGAAAAAAATAATTTGAAAAATAATCTTACTGTTAATCGTAGCTGACCAAAGGAGATCATTCCTTAAACAAGAGTGTAACAAATGTCGGTAAAATTATCAATGTGTGCTAAAATGTTGTTTGAATCGACCATTTGATATTCTGGGGGGGGGGGGGGGGGGGGGGGGGCAGGAGGATTTTGAAAATAAATAACTCAGCCTTGATAATCACAAAAATAAATGGTTTGTTCTGTGGTAGTTTGAAAATAAATAACCTGACTTGCAATGTATTAAAAATAAATAACTCGGCAGGTCTATTTAAGAGCATGACATTGCACCAGATTCTTCATAAAATTCAACTTTTTTTTCAAAAAAAATCGGGAATCACTTCCCAAATCTTTGAATAATAAAAGTATAAATATTATTTAAAATTCTTGAAATGTCTGAAAAATGGGTTTCATTTAACTTGAGGTATATTGTCTCAGGAACACTTAACTCACTTTTATTACATATGGCAGTAACTACATTCAGGCAAATGCCTCATGTAGGAAATTTCAAAACCAAAAGCTTGTCTTCATATCAAATTGTTTTCACGGCAAGTGTCTTCTTATGTGAATTAAATATTTGCTTTATCTTTGTCTTTCTCACTGAATCTATACATGTTGCTTTGAGACCAAAATATTGTCAAAAAATGATTAAAACAGAACTTTCATTTTCAGATTAAGAAAGGGTATGGGAAACACATTTCGCATCATTAGTTCTATAGCAACTTGGGGCCTTCAGCGGCTCCAAAACCCTTCAATTTTTTTTAGCCTCGCTCCGCTCGGCATAAAGGATTTGCAATACTTTTAAAAGACACTAATTACAGCCAAACTTTAATATCTTGTATGTATGCAATACATGTATATGCAGTTGGGAATTCAAAAGATTCATTTCTACAGATGATGATGATTAATTCTGATTAAATGGTACATAATGATTGGACTATTCATGTATTATTCAAAATAAAAAATGAATTTAAAAATTGTATGTTTTCAAATATTATAAATATAGTTGTGAAAATAAATAATCAGTCCCTTGCTTTAATGAAAATGAAAAATCTTGCTTCAACAGTGCAGAAAATAGATAATCTGTCCTCTTAGTTTACAAAAATAAATAACCGATCAAAAACAAATCCTCCTTAATTTCATATACATACTTAAGAATACTGCCAGCTTCGTTCTTTGTTTTCCAGATGAAATCCTTTTCAGTGATACCCTGCTGGTAACCATCCCTTATTGATTGCTGGAAGGGAAAAGATACGCTCTTAGGCATTTGAAATGAATTTAAATTGCATGCTCAAATAAAAAACTGAGAACTGAAGTAATGCATATGTGTAGAAAGTCGAAAATTATACAAAATGTAATATATATATTCTTTACTTCACGACTTCATTAATATTACGTTCTAATAAACACGACAACATGTATTCAAAGTTTGTAAAATGTCCCAGTTTTTGTACAATTAATACACAAATTGTAAGTGTGCAATATGTATGCAAATCTTTTGCCGACAACAATCATTGTCAATACTTAGCTTTGTAATCCGTTTACAAATAAAAATAAATGACATTTTGCTAAAAGTATTGAATTTTAAGTTCGCAAACTTAGTGCATATTGTTATGTTGCACTACATAAAAATGAAGATTGTATAAGCTATCCCCTCCTACATGCACAATGAATAATTACTTACTGCAATTTGTGCAGGGACGTTAATCTTTTGGCTTCCTTTTTTTGGTTCATTTGTTTTTGAGTGTAGCATTTGAATCAAAATATCCACTTTCTTTTCAACATTACTTTGGTTTTCTTGCACTTTTACCAGTTGTCTTTTCATTTGGATGACTTCATTTGTTAAAGTGTCAATCTAAACGAAATAAAAATAACTAAATCATTCGAAAAACATGAATTACAAAATCAATGAAGTTTATCATTTAGAAAACTAAATAGATACGTCATCCAGAATATATACTGTATGTACCTAAAAAAAACACTAAATGTATGAGAGTCACTGACTTTTTACAAGTTGTGTTTATTACAGATTAAAAGCATAACATATACATTATTATCTATTTATCTAAATTAATCAACAGTTTTAAGATTAATTGTGTGAATAAACATTTATATATACGCAGGTGTTTACTCTCTTTTATAATTGAACAACATTGAATAATTGTAACAAATAACTTGGGCGATATTACACTTCAAGCATTTTCATTAATGTTTGAATTTTAATTTCCCATGGAAATATTCTTTTGGTATTTTCTGCCTCTCTTTGGTATATTTTTTTTATTTATGTAAAATTTGAAAAACTATTATAACTGGTTTGAAGATTTTTTGTCCTGTCTAGAAGGAAATCTAGATGATTTACATGAGATAAAGAGATATGAATATGTATAACTGTCGTATACAAATAATCCGTGTTCAAAAATCTGAATAAAAGGACAAATCCGTGCAGTCCTTGAAAATGATAGCCTTTTGATTCCATCAAGGAAGTTATTTAAGGTTCTCATATAACCTCCTTGATTCCATATAGTCACGATACCCATCCTCTATAAACAGGCTCCTATTGATTCTCAACATATAACCACTTATGAATGTTATATAATACAGTATATATAATGACGTGAATATATGACAGCATTCATTATTCGGATTCGGACAAAGATATAAGTGCTACCACAGCTTCAAAATTGATCTTCAAGAAATCAGAAAACCAGAAAGAAGAAAACCGAGTTGATACCTGTTACAGATCCAAGTTGAATTACCGTTTCATTCAGAAGATTCTATTTTAGTAAGTATAGTTATTTCAACAGGAACAGGAATATATATGGTTCAGGGTGGGGATCTCGACCGTTAACAAGTTCTCAAAAGGGGGTGATCCCCAGGGGACTCGCCCTTTATTTCATTTGATTTGGTTTTTGTTCCATACAAGAATATATATGGTTAAAAGGTGGGGATCTTGACCGTTTACAAGTTCTCAATCAGGAGGGGGAGGTAGTGACCCCCAGGGGACGGGCCTTTTATTTTATTTGATTTGTTTAATTGTCCCATACATACAATTCATATGGTTTCGGGATGGGGATCTCGACCGTTTACTAGTTCTCAAACAGGAGGGGGGCTGAGAGTGACCCCAGGGGACGCGCCTTTTATTTCATTTGATTTGTTTTATTGTCCCATACAAGAATATATATGGTTTAGGGGTGGGGATCTCGACCGTTCACAAGTTCTCAAACAGAAGGGGTTGGGGGTGACCCCGGGCACTCCCCCAATATTTCATTTGGTTTGTTTTATTGTCCCATACAAGAATATATATGGTTTATGGGTGGGGATCTCGACCGTTTACATGATAAAAGCACATTCTGATATTGAAGGGGGTGGGGTGACCCACATGGACTCACCATATTTGTTTCATTGTCCTGTGATCATTACTGGAGAATGCGTGTGTCTATCACTTACTGTTTTCAAGTTAAAGTCATTTGAAAATTAAAAAAAAAATCCATAGGGTTCTATAGTAAACATCACATATTTTAATTGAAATATATGGTAAAATTGTAGAACATTTTCAGTTGTTGCCGCAGTTTTAATTTTACAATATTCATAGATAAAGAATACGAATAAATAATTCCGATTAGCGGCTTTTGCCTCCGTTTTGGTTTGAAATTGACCAAACAACTTTAGTTATAGCTACATGTACATGTAGCTACGCATTGAAAACCCAATTAACGGATTGATATTGTATAACTATTGATTTTGCAACAGTTCATTTAGACATGGTAAAAGTGCGAATGATTGGTCTTTATTTTCTTTTAAATATTTATCTTATTTTGAAAATAATGAACATGTGTGTACAATAATAATCAGAGACGATGATAGAAAGGACCAAGAAGCGTGTTAACAAAGAAATACAAGTAGTTTTACTGAAAATAGAAAACTACGGTAAAAAAATCGGATTGAAGTGTACGTTATTGCTTTTTATTTATTCATTTATATGATATGCCTCCTTTTTTTTGGTTAGTATTTTTAAATTAAAGGACATTCTTGGTGGGGTAAAACATTGTTTCAAAAATCATTAATTAATTTCATTTATTTTTAATCAACCAAAAATTGAAAGTTCATAATTATTAAAACGGAAAAAAGAACAGCTAACCGACAAAATTTAGATCATAAAAGAATAAGGATATTTAACACCTAAACATACCAGTGGCGGATCCAGGGAGGGAGTTCCGGGGGTTGGAACCCCCCTTTTTACGGTCAATGCAGTTGAATGGGGACATGCAGTTGGAAGACTCCCTTTATCCTGGGTTGGGACCCCCCCCCCCCCCCCCCCCCCCACACTTTAAAAAATGGCTTTTTCCGCTCCTGCATAAGTTATCATTTACTTTTCAAAGATAATAAAGAAATAAATTGTTTCAAGATGTTTAATCTTTAATGCTTTTTTATTTATTCATTAATCGATAGAATCATAATATAAGAGATTCTCAGAAATTATATCTATTTGTAAGTTGTCCGACAGATGCTTTCATTTTTTTTTTTCTTAAATCTGATAGAGTATTTATCTGTCGGGCTTTTCAATATAGTTTTTATAAGAATTCTTCGACTGTTTGTTAATGTCTGTGTCCTTTGGTCTCTTGTGGAGAGTTATCTCATTGACAATCCTACCACATCTTCTTTTTTATAACCTATTTCTAAGCGTACAGGGCAAGTTGAAAAAGAAATTTCGTTTCTTTTTATCTTCGTGGAATTATTTTCTGAGCAGATTCAATTACCAGGAAGGCGCCACCACATCTTAAATCAATAAAGTAGATAAATATATACTTTCATTCACTATATAATTGATTTGTCCAGATTTCAAATATCAGAATTGTTAATTTGAATTTAGCTGCAAAACGTATTAATGACCATTTCATCCTGTATTTTTTCACACCGTTGGTTTAGAAATCAGGCAGTGATTAAAACCGTTGAAGATATGAAAATTTGAGAAAAAAATATAAAGGGACATCGTTAACCTAAAAACAAAATTATGTTGGCAGTTAAGATATGTATCTTTAGGGTACGTCGAATAAATCCAATTTGGTTAATAATGATGTCTTGCTGTGTGCAATTTCATTTTCAAAACATTCGTCTTTGATTTTCTGTTGGCCGTTTTATGCAAACAATTAATAGACACATCACCTAGCCGATAGCTGAGGTAACTGCCATCAAACATTTATTAGTTACATTTGCAAACTAAAGATGACATATGATATACAAATTTATACGATTACGAAAGTTTTATTTTGATTCGGCTATTTTTAAATTTAACTTAAATAAACATTTTTCGTAGCCAATAAGATGGTTTTCAAGAGGAAAAACTTCTTACTATATTCAGTCTGTGAAATAATAGATTATTTGCCAATTTTCTATGTTGTACTGAAAAATGCCTCTAAAAATTGGTTTTCAAAGGTTATAAAAATAACCACCAGTAATGCAAGTCTAAGATAGCAATTCATAATGTTCAGCATTTGTTCTCTCTTTCAAATAAACCCAACATCAAGTAAATCCCTCGCACGTTGGTTTACTTTTATCTTTATTTTATTGGTAACAGGAACGTACGTTAATGAAATATCCTATCCTGTTACCTTTTTGTCTATCCTGTTACCGATAGCAGTATTGCACCTGCAAATGCTAAATTGCGAAGATTAAGACGATATAACCTTTAGATGTGTTCAAACAACGAAACGTTTCATTAAGTGTGCAACTATATGTTATTATAAACTTTTTAAAGACGTTTCTGTTTACTATTGTCTATCCTTTTACTGTAACCATAGCAACCATAGTAACAGCCTTCATTTTTGAATGCTGTTGTGAAAAAAACTACTCCCTTTGATGAAGTGATAATGTTTTTATGTTGTGATTTTGGTTTCCAACACGTTATTGCACTTTTTGCAAGTATACTATTGGTGTAATTAATCAATATGTTGGTAACAGCATAGACATGACAAAAAAGTACCCACTATTTTTTTTTCACTAAATGTTTTGAAATTTCTTTTCTCTACATTGTTATACAAGAAACGTGCTGTGTTAAATATTTAGGTTACTTTGCGCTTTTGAAATCAACACTGACTAGTTCAATATTCATAGAGAGAAAACTTTAACGGCTGATTTAAGTAGTGGTAACAGGATGGACATGAACTTCATGTACGCTGATTGAATATAGTTTGTATAAAAAATGTTACATATAATAATAATGACGTTACGATTTTTCGTTAGATTTATTATTTACGTTCTAAAAAAGTCCCTTTTACATGTATCAAGAAGATCAGAAAATAGGAAAAAAATCATTTGAAATGTGTTACTCGGACACTGTACGCACATAAATTACGCAAACATCGGACTTAAATATATTTTGATCTTATCAAAATAGATCTAAATCGTGTTTATTATTAATGTTCTGACTCATAAGTCCTTCAAACTTTCATCTAAACACTTACAACTGCATTTTCCATTAGAAATCAAAATTTTAGCATGGGTGTACCGAAAATTCTTTTGAAAATGACCAATATACAGCTTTAGTAATGAAGGGCTTTCATGGTAAATGCGGCATCACTGTTTATTAAAGAAAACGACATTAAAAATAGCGTATTTTTAAAACAAAAGATACACGAAAGAACATTTGTCCCGGAAATGTGAAATTTTGAAGTAGGTGTGAAAAAAAAACCCATATTTGAACCTTTAAAGGAAAAAGTTTGTTACCCACAAAAAAATCTTGAATTTAAAGATATTTTTTTCAATGTGTGTTATGATGGTCACGTGTCTTACACTGTTCTAACAAAAATCGTTGGAAATTAGGGCAGGGTACTTTTGTTTTAGCCCTCCCCCTTTTG